TTTTTTTTGCCAGTAGAAGCGCTGTCGGCGCTGTTGCTGTATTAGGCCAATATTACATGCATTCGTTTTTGTCGTATGACAAATTTTTCAAGTCTATTGATTAACTGTAGAACAAAGAGGTCCAAGATCTTCTCTGTTTTGCACCTAATTAATACGCTTGAAAAATTTGTCATACGACAAAAAACGGACGCATGTAATATTGAGGGCAATTATCAAATTAACATCAATTTTTGTGTAAAATTTAACACTTTATATTTATTTGTTTGCACAAATATTTTAAATAATGAAATATTTCAAAATAAATTTTTTAAATGACTTAAATAATAAAAAATAATCCAAATGTGACTACTTACCAGGATATAGAGTATTATAAAAAATAACCGTTTATATAACTATTTAAATAACCAGTTATTTTGAAGTAACTGTTATAACAGTTAATGAAAAATAACCGTTTAGCCCATCCCTACTATTTAAGGATATATAGATATCCTACATAGATATTTTTATTTATCTATCCTATTTATCCATTGTGTTCTAATGACATTTGGAATTATCAGTATATAAATCTTGCTATATTATCAACGTTAATAATTAACAGAGGTTTAAATAAAATGTTGACTAATGAATTTTGTTTATCTTTACATCTTACTAATTTTTTTTTTAACTATATGTATATTTACCCTGTAAAAATTTTTCATGTACGAATCTAAATAAATACGTATAAACATACATAACATGCATAGATATTTATAAATATGTATAATTATATATGAATTATGTCCATACATCCTTTTTTTTTGTAAAATTGCTGTTTAATATAATAAAAATAATAGCAGTACTGAAAAATAGCAGCAGATCAAAAGTAATTAAAAGGATAATTTTTGCATTGTTTCTTATAGAAAAAAATCAAGTTTAGAGAAACGAAAAAGAATTGCTTATATATAATTGTATATACTTATATATATAATTATATATGAGCAATTCTCTTACATTTCTCTAAACTTGACTTTTTCTAAAGCAAAATATGCAAAAATTATCTCTTTAAATATTTATTATGTTTTCTCTCACATTATTATCATTTTTAATATAGTAAAAAGTAATTTCACAAAAGGAAAAATGATGTATGAGATTATGTATAGACATATTTCATATATAATTATATATGTTTATGAACGTTTATACATGCCTATGTATATTTATATTTATTTATACATATTCATGTATGAAAAATTGTTTACAGAATACGATCATATGATGAAAGTAATTGAAACGACTATATCCAAAACAAAATTTTATTTTGCAAATTTGTTTTTCCTATAATTATAGTAAAAAAAATATTAATTGCGGTTTTATGTTTGACTTTTATGTTATAGAATACTTACAATATAAATTTTATAAAATTAACTGTGCAATATATCAACTAGCAATCCTCTTGCTTAGCATATCCTATACTTATTCATTTACTTATACAGTGTTACGTAGTTCAACGTTCAACATCCAAACTCTTTTTGAAATGTCATAAATACATATTCCAATGATTTTTTCACGTCTAGCAAACGAGAATGGATTGAAATGAATTGAAATGGATTCAGATTTTCAGAAATATTGATTCGCAAATATGAAAATAAAATTTTTTTCTATCCGAATGCGTATTTCAAATAGCGAATACTTTTTTTTTAATTCAATTGGATGCAATTGAATTGAAAAGCTATATTTCCTATTCAAAATTTTGAATTGAAAAATATTCACAACGCACAGCGAAAAAGCTAATATTATATTATTTTTAGATTGAAAGGCATAGAGATATGCTCCATGCAATTCCTATAAATGAATAAAAATACATTCAGGATTGAAAAGCATTCATTTAACATTCGTGAATCAATATTTCTGAAAATCTGAATCCATTTTATTTCATTTCAATCCATTCTCATTTGCTGGGCTGGGATCTCTGAATTATGAATCTTCTACGAAACTTACCTGTTACACCACTTCTTCAATTGGTAAATGTGTTATTCAGTCTCTATTTCAATTAGAACCAGCTAAACTAATAACGAAATTATATAGATATAATAAAAATATCATCATTTAACAGATATAATAAAGTATAAACAATTTACATTACTATGAGACAACATTGTAAGTATCGGATAATTTAATCTCGCTTGACCGATGTCGCGCGCCGTGATTAACCTAATATTTGGACTGTGTACGACTTGGTTTGCGAGTATTCACATCATTCATTTTACTTTTGATTAAAGAGAAACAAAAGAACATAGCTAAGACGAAAAATTTCCTACTTGTAATTTTGAATAATTTACGCATTTATGATCCATTTAAATAAAAACTTTTTATTCAATTAGATTGAAAAACTGCATTTCCTATTCAGAATATTGAATTGAGCAGTATTCACGTTGTACAGAAAATGCTAATATTATTTTTAGATTGAAAGGTATAGAGATATGCTCTATGTAATTCCTATAAATGAATAAAAATGCAGGATTAAAAAGGATTCATTTTAACATTCATGAATTCGTATTTCTGAAAATCTGAATCCATTTTAATTCATTTCAATCCATTCTCTGTTCTTCATTGCTGATGTCCACGGCTACGAATACAATTCTTCTACAGAGAAAAAAGTGATTCTTTTTTTTATCGAACAAATATTAAATATTATCGAAAAAAGGAAAAAACTTAAAATCTTTAAGTTAAAAACTATTTATAAGTAAATATTCGCGACGGCGCGACAGTGCGCGTCTCATCCAGTCTCATCCTCGCAGCTATGCTCTCGTCTCTATCGTCTGCAACAGAGACTGACAGAGATAAGAGAGTCCCTGTTGATTTGACGGCTCGGCCGGAACATGTATATCATAAAGTATTCTTGTTTCGGTCAAGTATTGCATTATCTTTAATTTTTGAAAGTTTCTGCCGAGTTTAACTTATTTGATAACGCATATTTTTTAACGCATTTGATTTTATCATTTTATATTTTTATACAATATTATACAATACTGTTGTGGAAAATTGGGAGAGTTGGAGATGTCTTATATATCTATATGTTACTGGCAATTTTTTACTCCATGTCAAGTCAACACTTCCTATAAACAAGGCCTCTCCATCTCTTCAGATAATGCTGTGACGTCATCACAAATAGACCGAGCGCCCCGAGCGTCTTTCAGTGTTACGTGTCTCTTGTGAGAAAATCTCAGTAAAGATGAAATCACACGATGCATACATACATGCTGCTATGCTTGCTTTGATACATAGTCTGCGTTTGATAAATAACTATGAAATTAGCAGGAAATGAGCTATGAAGTAATCCATAATAAATATAAAAATCATGTATATGCAGCATGCAGCGCTCAATGTATAAACGAATTCTAGCATATATCAGAGCACGCATGATTGTATTCATGCTATCATTCAAGAAATCATGTGATTCTGTCATCTTAAGCGATTGATAGTTCTTTGTAGAATCTTTTTTATAATTTATTATTCACGAGTACTCTTGAGATGAGTTTATGTCTCATTAATTTACCGAACCATAAAAAGTGATTTGAAAGTTGGACAATACGTTTGACTATAGGTTATGTTTTGATTATTTCAACAATACTCTTTTCTTATTGAAACATCTTACTAATTTACAGAAATACCATTCAAATGCTGTATCCCGAATTGTAATGGTAATTACAAAAACGGCCCAAATATCGCAACATTTTCGTTTCCAAAAAATAAAGAGATGAAACGAAAATGGTTACATGCCATCTACAGAAAGGACTTCCAGCCGACAAACAATTCAAAAGTAATCAATTATTATAACTAATTTCTTCTTAAATTAATTTCTAAAATTTAGTGTAATAAAATAGATCTTTAGAATCGATATAATAACCAGGATCCATTTAAAAAAAAGTTTATTCTTTACATCTTTTTCTTATTTATCTATAGGTATGTGAGCTACATTTCCGGTTGTCCAAAATTGAATGAGAAACTAACCACTACGTTGAACTGGCAAACGGTTAACTGCATCATTGGTACATTCACAATTGATCAAAGATAAATGTTATGTCGTTTTACCTTGTTTTTATAGTGCGAGTATTAGCTGTTCCAAAACGACTTTGCAATCATTTTCTTTTGTTAGACTATACTGTCGGGCCTAATTTTCAAAATGATAATTAAGATTAAACGTTTTTTTTTACAATAAGTGTGTTACAATAAGTTTTTACTTCCTATGTCGAATCTCCCGAATGTCAAATCAATTGCCCAAATTTTTTCAAAAAATTGGTTTTCTAGTACAATTCTCATACAATTTTTAATAACAGAAAATTATGAATTACTCTGAAACTGGAAAATGGATGAACTTTTACACATATTGAAGTTAAAAATGATAAAATGTTATTTATCTTAAGGGATAGGATTGATCTTTTGATATCTAACAATGTATAATAACATATTTGATGTTTTATAACAGTGTCTTAATTTTTTACATAATTGTTTAGAGCTTAAGCGTGTATCCAAACTTTCATGACAGATAGTGTACATCTAACATTTCAATAATTTTATTCAATTATTTAATTTCAATTAGATATTACAATTTATTTTGCAAATCAATTCATATTGTGTGTATTAAAAGCGTCAATTCAAATTTAGTATTTC